ATTATTAAGCCATTGTGTATAATTTTGTTGAATTGTCCACTATTTATGGTATAAAAATGTGTGTCCTGTTTGCTTTTAGCTTGTAGATTATCACTTTTATCCACACTTTCATCCTGATCCTGGTCAGTTAGCTATATATATAGGCGCTTGTAAAAGAGTTGAATGATGATCGTTAGTAAAGTTGAAAATGTTCCCAAAATCTTTCTGTTTCATGCAAAAGGTATGATGTAAATTTCGATTAGAATACAGTCAATTTCACTCTTTTTGTCACCTGCCAGAGTTCCTTGCACCACCGGACATGCACATTCCTACACTAGTTACAATTGGTTTCCCTCAGTATTGGGACCTGGTGAACTATATACTGTTACACCCTACATGTAAATGCCGAAAAATGTAAAAAAATAAAATTAAAAAAATACAGCTGAAAATACGAATAACCATTGAAATAGACAATAAGCTAATAATAGAAAGTGTATAAAGCAGCGTGGATTGGCGCAAAGCAACCACGCCAATATAACGCGTGCCCAGCAGAATGATTGATTCATTGTAACGGTTATTATCTAATCAGTGACTATTTAAAATAAAGGTGACCATAAAAAAGCTCGTACTTCAGCTTAATTCCAACATGTAGTTTCAAACTTGGTTTTTATCATATCTGAGCTGTCTATGTAGAAAAAATAGATAGAGCCAGTACACGTAGGATAATTAAACGTGGTAAAGCTCAATTGGAAAGTTTCACAAGTAAGTTTTAGATCTCATTTTGACTCTTGTAAGGAAAAGAGTGACTAAAGATATGGGTAAGGATATTTCTATGCTCCTTAGAAATCGCGTTATGCGAGGTAGACAGTGAAAGAATTAAAAAAAAAACCATATACAATGTACGTTTACTATACGGAACTAGGGTCTGGTTACCAGTTCTGTCTATGTTAAACGGAACTAGGGTCTGGTTCCTTGTTCCGTTTATGTTAAACGAAACTGGGGTCTGGATCCCAGTTCCGTTTAAGGAAAAACGTAACTGGAGTCTGACACTGATTCCTGTCCTTGATTCAGATATAACTACGAGCCTTTGACCTTCCGTTTTGCGAAGTAGAAAGGGAGGTTACAAAAAAACCCGATATACGTTTACTATACGGACCCCTGTCTGGTTCCCAGTGTCGTTTACGTTAAACGGAACTAGGGTCTGGTTCCTAGTTCCGTTTATCTTAATCGTTTTTTGTTAAACGGAACTGGTGTCTGGATCCCAGTTCCGTTTAAGGAAAAACGTAACTGGAGTCTGACACTCAGTTCCGTATACGACCAATTACTTTATAGAGGCTATGGTGGTCTTAATTTTCGTGTGAAAGGTTGTGGGTTCGATTCCTGTACTTGATACAGATATAACTACGCGCCTTTGACCTTTCGTTTTTCGAGGTAGACATGGAAAGTATCACAGAGAACTTAAACGTTTACTATACGGAACTGGGGTCTGGTTCCAAGTTCCGCTTAAAGAAAAACGTAACTGGAGTCTGACACTGATTCCTGTCCTTGATTCAGATATAACTACGGGCCTTTGACCTTCCGTTTTGCGAAGTAGAAAGGGAAAGAATTACAAAAAAAACCCATATACGTTTACTATACGGACCCCGGTCTGGTTCCCAGTTCCGTTTATGTTAAACGGAACTAGGGTCTGGTTCCTAGTTCCATTGATGTTGAACAGAACAGAGGTCTGGATCCCAGTTCCGTTTAAGGAAAAACGTAACTGGAGACTGACACTCAGTTCCGTATAAGACCAATTACTTTATAGAGGCTATGGTAGTCATAATTTTCCTGTGAAAGGTTGTGGATTTGAGTTCCCAGTCGATTTTATAAGAGGCTGGTTATGATGTTTATCTGAAACAGACCTAGTATTTTGGTCGAAGATCGAATTATAGTGTTATTTCAATTTTAATCAGGACTAGTGTCTGGTTCCTAGTTCCGTTTATGTTAAACGGAACTATGGTCTGGTTCCCAGTTCCGTTTATGTTAAACGGATCTAGGGTCTGGTTCCTAGTTCAGTCTACCTTAAACGGAAGTAGGGTCTGGTTCCTAGTTCCGTTTATATTAAACGGAACTAGGGTCTGGTTCCTAGTTCCGTTTACCTTAAACGAAACTAGGGTCCGGTTCCTAGTTCCGTTTATCTTAAACGTTACTAGGAACTAGGAACCAACTTCAGGCTCCCTTTATTTAGAGCGATCAACATTAGAAAGCTTTTGAGGTACATTGTCCTAGGGAAGCTGCAAGTGATCTCTGTTATGTTCGGATATTTCGGCACAACGAGTACCTGAAGATTACAAGATACATCGGCATTGCTTCGAGACAGTATTTAGGAGCTCCAGTCTTGAGTAAGCAGGTTTCATGAATGCAAGATTGGCATTTCTCCTTTGCTACTCAGGAACGAAAACAGGGACGGTATACACAATGCTCCAACATCTCCCTGAAGAGAGTCGGATGCTACCATATGAGGGAGGATTCGGATCGGATCAATAAATGACTGGAATCCTGGGTATGTCTGTAGAGGAGATGGCATCTCTACAACCTGTAAAGGCAGCCGATGCTGAGGACCTTGTATATACTTGTTATAATCCCGTGTTGATGTTATATGTGCTGTTGCTGCTTGGTTGCTCTATGTGTGTACATGCTTTACTGTGTGTGCATATAATGACACCTTTTAAGCGGCTTTCATTGCGGGGGATGAATTTACGTGTATGAACATATGAACCACTTTTAGAAAACGAGGAGGAATGTGGTGAGCAAGTCACTTCGGCATACGTTGGTGGAGCTTCCAGAGCTGGTCGTTTAATACGAAAGTAGACCTTCAGACAGATTTACTTGAGAACCCGAGCAGTACAGACGTCCCCTGGACCTTGTCCTGTAGTGCTCCTCTGGCACAACAACTCTGAAAAATGACCCAAAATCATTAGATTATTTAGATTATACAACTTCACCTGTTATCGTCACACACTCGACGTCCATGTTTGAGAGTATGACTTGTTTACTATTTAAAATCATTTGTTTCTAATGTGTTCTTACTAAATACGACATCACAAATAAACCCATAGCATAAAAATGTATTCTGAAATACTCAACATCTGAGTAAATTTGAACCATTTAGGTACACTTCGGTGCAATACTAAGTACATACATGTTGATCGTTCTAAGATGAATTTGTACCTTAGAATATATATTTTTCGTGGCTCTTCATAATTTACCGAAGAATTCTAAATTCACCAGGTTGGGCACAACGCCGCATATAGGTAAGAATCCTGCATTTGGGTAACAGTTATCGTTTTGAGTAACAATTTTATTTTGAAATGGAGCTATGAGCAAAAAGGGCGTCATTTATTCTTCCAACATAATCCAATAAATAATTCAATGAGGCACATTTGTACACAAAATTCTAACCTGAACCTAACTTTTGGTTAAACTAACAAACCGTATCACTGACTTTGTTCTCTATTGACTACAGTGTGTAGTCCTTTGGATCATCAAGTGCAAATGTGTCAGGTGAGTAGATCTATCTACAGCTACCCAACACTACGCTATGTGCAATAAAGATGATAAAGTGGCTATAATTGATGTATGGCTATTAAATTTGTCACCAGTTACATTTTTTGTTTCAAATTCAAGTGACGCTTTACAATTGTCATAAAAATGGCCAAACCTTTTCTGTCTTAATATTTACCATACGAGTATATGGAATCTGTCCACCATCTGATAAACTGGACATAATATGACAAGTTAAAATGTATATTGCTTGAATTTAATGTGGTGTATATATGAATTTGTTTACAGATAAAAAATTGACCATAACTTATTCTCATAAATGTAGTCATACGAGTTTATGCAATCGGCCTATACCTGACTATACAATTATAAAAAATGCGTAAAGGTAATCATATGATAAATATTATTTGGCTCATAAGATATAACCATAAACTTGTCTGAGTTGCTAATACATTCTTTGGTTTGTGTCGTTTTATTTTAAAAGGTTTGTCTATAATTATAACTGTAGTACAGTGTGGAGGCCCAGTGCTATAGCGAATATTATTTCGAATGCAAAGAAAAGCATGTCTTCACTGAAAATTGATTATTACTTATACTTCTGTGTGTGTCTGTGTGTTTGTGTCTGTGTGTCTGTATAATACAAGTATTATTGCTAATGATGTACAATATATATTCATTAAACTTAGTAATAATTGGTAGATTGACTCAGCATTTATGTAATCGCAATAAAGGTGACATTGCCGCGGAGTTACCTCCCGTCTCTATCAGTATGTGTTTGTGTATCTTATACAGACATGTATATGTTACTTTCTGTGTTCTGTATGCTTGTCATGAGAGATCACTCTCCAAATATGTTTGTAATATTATGTATTGTAATACAACATAAACTAGCAACAACCTGCCAGGTTACAAATTATATATACATCTAATGATACACAGTACATAGAAATCTTGGACAATGTTAAACACTACATCTGTACAATCTACGCTCCTTTAAAATAAAGAAACAAAATATTGACGACAGAAAGGTTGGGAAGAGGTGGGTTTAAGAATTAATTATCCCGAGAGCTTGATGAGCGTACAAATACAGTGGCTGCCTGATGCAGGGATATGTCCCTGAGTGAGATAGCGTCACCTCTGACCCCTTGACCAATCAGTGACCAGCCTCAGAAACCCTGACGCTGTCATCGGCAGCCAATCATTGACATTGAACCGTTTATTGTGCCAACAAGTCAAGCTCCAAAATTAAATTAAAATAACAGTAAATCTACAAAACTTATTGTTATGACATTACGAGCATTAGTTAAGCTAATTGATTAGCTGCCATTTATCTTCTGTCTATCTTGAAGCTGTAAGACACGCCTCAAGTATGTATTATATGTATGTATACCTATGGGTCGTAAGACCCCCGGAATAAATTTGAATTGAATAAAGGTTACCAATCACACACAAAGACACACCTCAGGGAGTCTACCTGTGCGTATATATATGATGTGTTGAGTGAGGAAAGTGGTCATTGCTGTGTGTACATGTTGATGAGAACGAAGTGTCGTCCACTTGAATGGTTTTCAGCTCGATCACAGAAGAAGGCGATTCGTATCTGTAAGTTTTCGATATGAGAATATCGCTTAGATAGAAGGCATAGAACACGTCTTTCTCAGTTTCAATAACTTGTTGTTTTAAATAAGCGTTTATCATTTATATATAATCAGATGAGAATCTTTGTTTTGCACAAGAGCATAGCATGGGCTATAGAAACAAGTTAAAAAATCATGCAAATTTAGTTTTGCACATAAGCAGCAAATACGTGTCTGATAGTAAAGGAATTGCCCATGTGAAATTCTGATTTCCTCACTTGAGGCAAAGGATTCTAACACAAGCTCATGTGAGCTACATCGATTATAAGTTATTTACATATGAACATATAGAATACAGTACTTTCCTTTCAATATCAAACCACCATTTTTAAACCGGCAAACAGGATTTAAGGATGACAGGGACATTTATGTAATATTTTTACTGTATGCATGAAATTAATAAGGTAATGTATTTTTATTTTGAACGTTTTGAAAGCAAATATCTACTTAATAACACGATATACCTACTATAATATTCTTGAAATGGTGCTACTGATCCACTTTATTTTCGTGCTAAAAAATGGAAGGAAGTAGGTATAATAATTAACCGTCATTGTGAACAATTATTATTCATAACCGGTATTGGCGAATCTGTTTTTAGATTTTACAATAAGTGACGATAGATTTTTAGTTAAGAAATGGAGTATGTTAATACATCTGTTTAAATACATGGCTTAAATCCTGTTTGATACTTAACAAGATATGGTTGTAAAAGGATGATCACTTCAGTCCAAGTGTGAATAGTATGTATTAACCAATTTGAAGCTGGTAAATCGTAAGATTTATTTTTTATTTTTACGAGTGTTATTGTAAACAATGAAAATACACCAACTGGAAAACCAAGGTTTTTAATATTCAAATCGCTTGTCCAATATATGCAGTCAATATCCGTTCTTGCGCGAAATTCTATCAGTACCTGCCGCTCGTTTTCTTTAAATGAAACTGACGTTAGTAACATGTAAATGGGCGAAATATGTACATATTTATTTGCAATTAAGAAGAGCCTAAAAGTTGATGGTCAAAGAAACAGCATTCATTGATACTAAATAGAATACGGAATTACTATGGCATTACGTACAAACACAACATTTTGATTATAAAAAGATGCAATAGAATAATAATAATACAATTGTAAGAGTAATTAAACACGGCCTGACAAAATTATATGGATTAAAAAAAATGTATATAAACTAAAACTGCAGTTGAATTTTGTTAAAAATCTAAATGCTTTGTGGATTGGTCTGTTGTACAAGTTATGGACTTTAAACAAAGATGGCCAGGTACCGTTACTTGAACATGGTATATGTATAGTATGTTATGCCCCTGCACTCATAACAAGCAAAACTCGGACAACAATATGATGAAAATGGCCACCAGATTGGTGACATTGAATTTATTAATATCAATAGAGCCACACAAGGGAAAATTATATGAAAAATGCACCACACACGCATGGCAGCCACTACTACAAACAATAACAGCTAGCCAAAGTGGGTTGCCAAAAAACGCCAAACATTGGTCAATGGTGGGGTTGCCAAACCAATCTTTACATGTTTACTGCGAGCCGGCTACCCCAACCCTGTTAATTAGGGGAGGTAGGTTTACCCAATGCTCTGACCAGTCGGCAAGTGTTGTCTCACTTCAACATAAACTAGCAACAACCTGCCAGGTTACAAATTATATATACATCTAATGATACACAGTACATAGTAATCTTGGACAATGTTAAACACTACATCTGTACAACCTACGCTCCTTTAAAATAAAGAAACAAAATATTGACGACAGAAAGGTTGGAAAGAGGTGGGTTTAAAAATTAATTATCATGAGAGCTTGATGGGCGTACAAATAAAGTGGCTGCCTAATGCAGGGATATGTCCCTGAGTGAGATAGCGTCACCTCTGACCCCTTGACCAATCAGTGACCAGCCTCAGAAACCCTGACGCTGTCATCGGCAGCCAATCATTGAATCGTTTATTGTGCCAACAATTCAAGCTCCAAAATTAAATTAAAATAACAGTTAATCTACAAAACTTATTGTTATGACATTACGAGCATAAATTAAGCTAATTGCTTAGCTGCCTTTTATCGTCTGTCTATCTTGAAGCTGTAAGTCACGCCTTAAGAAATACTAATAAGACTGCTGTGCTTGCTCAAGAGGGCGCTTATTTCAGTTGTAAAAAAGGGCTATAACTGCTACAGAAAACACTTATTTCAGTAGTAAACTTAGGCCATGGCTGCTACAGAGAACACTAATTAGTAATATAGTAATCACTATGTCTGTCTGTCTGTCTGTCTGTCTGTCCGGTCGTCCACAAATTTTGTTTCTGGCTGATAACTTTGGTACATAAAACTTGGTCAAGATGTTAAGTTCGAGAAAAGACACACTGAGGTAAAAAATCAAGGTCAAAGTCATTAGGTTCGAAGGTCAAGGACAATTTTTGTATCTTTTCCCTGATGAACATTTTGTTACGACATTATGATGCAAAGTTGGTCGGATTTAACAAGAATTCAACTGATCAAAGGTCAAGGTAACTGGGTCAAAGGTCAAGGTCAAATTTAGTATATTTTCACTGGTGAACATTTAGTTTTGACACTTTGAAGCAATATTGGTCGGAATTAAACAAGGAGTCTACTTACTAAAGGTCAAGGTCATGATTTTTTTTTTTATCTTATTATGAAGCAAAAATGTTCAGACCTTAACACGGAGTCAACTTACCAAAGGTCCAGGCTATGGGGTCCAAAGGTGAAAAGACAAGGTCAAGTTTTGTATTTTCACTTATGAACATTTTGTTATGATATTATGAAGCAACGTTGGTTGGAATTAAAGAATGAGTCAACTGACCAAACATTAGGGTCACTGGGTTAAAGGTCAAGATCATTTGGGTCCAAAGGTCAAAGACAAAGTGGATCTCTTACTTTGACTCTGGCTCTTAATGGGGGAGGTATTTAAGGTGAAATAAAACAAATCAATGCTAACCAATGAGTATTGCACCGGTATTTACATTGCTGTTAGCACAGCAAATATGGATGTGGAAGGAAACAAGACTCACATCAAAGTACATGTAAAATGTATATTTTGCTTCCTTGTAATTCTTTTTGAAGTCCAAATGTCAAACGTCAAGCTCAGATATATGGGCAGATTGCTTCTTGATGATTATGGGAGATATATTGCCACGAGACGGGGCCCTTACTGACCTGTCAGTGTTCTAGTTTCAGTAGTAAAATAAGGGTATGACTGCTACAGAGGTAGATACTTGATGTAAAAATGTCAACTTATGGTAATTCAGTAAATCAAGGAAATATTATGGAATACGATATGCTTGTTACTCTCTTTATCCTTTGTTGATGATATTCATGTCGATATACCATACATACAGTTGTTGTTATCAACATGACACAGATGCTACAGACAGCACATATTTAAAAAGTTGAAAATGTTACAAATCAAGTGATTTTATCAAAGATAGAATAATGCAGTCACATTCATTGAGATGGTTCTAGCTATCAAATTATTTGACAGTTTTTGTGAAAATTTACTTTGGACAAACCAGGGACAGGTTCCAATATAGCCAGGTTCGGTCAAAGTTCTTGGCTGCTGTTGTCTAGGGAAAATAAGATTATTTCTTGACCATGTATCCAGCAGAAGAATGGGGGTAACATCCTTCTTTGCTTTCACTAGTTTAAAAAGATATAAATTGATGAAGTTATCAATTGGCTTGGAACAGTGGATGGATTGACGAAAATCTAACTGTAAGATATTTGATGGTAAATTTAAAATTTAATTGAGGGCAAGGTTTGTCATATTATTTTTTTTCATGATCTGACGATTCCTGTTTATCAAAACAATTTAAGACATTGATTCCTTGTTTTTCTTATTCGTTGACATCATGTCACTGCCTAGTACATTTTGGTAAATCTGCTGTGTAACAGGATAAGTTTGACCATTAAATGCGGACTTTGCTGGATCTCGAGGCCGTGTACAAGATTGCCACACACAAGGACTGGAAGCCCCCGCCTGCCGGTGCCACCCCAAAGCCTGCCGAGACACCAAGCTCCAGCATGGCTGACTCAGTAGAATCTAAGTATTTGAAGGCGCAGATTGACGCGCAGAGCGAGAAAGTCAGGACAATTAAGGTAAAGGGTGCCAATGCACCAGTTTTAATCGCGAAGAAGAGTTTTTTTTAGTATTTCAAATAGAAATCAAAGCAACTGAAAGGTGTATATCTGACTTAGAGTAACATACCACGCCAATATTTGTTTGTATCAATGCTCAATGTTTTCAATAGATTTTGTGGCCCATAAATTCGACACGATTTTGTGGTTAAGCCTTCATAATTCCTAGATGGCAACATTAAAGTAAAGTTTGAAGGCGTATAGTTCGATGCCTACATTTTTTTCTCGTTACTTCTTAAATTTCGATTATGAAAATGTGTATGGCTTACGACTTAAATACATATTTCACAATAGTGACAGTGTTAATAATATAGTTTATCTTGTTGGTATCCTTTAAGGGGCATCAAAGGCATGTCTACATGGTATTCACTGAGTGCCTAAATGATCAGATATGACAGTTTCGAGAATGTAATTATGGTGTTTCGACATTTATAGGCTAAAATTGATAAGGAGATACAGATATTGCTATCCCTGCAATGTAAATACAAGGACCTGACGAAGCTAGGTGAAGATGGGCACCAGAGCAAGAAAGAAGACAAACATGCCAATGAAATAAAACCAACAAAGAAACAGGACGCTGCATCGGTCCAGGATGCTTCAGCTAACAAGGACATAAACGAAATCACAAGGTAGGACAGGTGATCGAACTGTTGAACACAAGTAATTTTTTCTCACAAGATGCTTGTAAATCGTTTTGAGGGCCTACCCAAGATTAAAATATTTCGGTTACATGATTTATGAACATTCGTTCCAGCGAGTAACGGGGGAATATTTTGAAACATGAATTCCATCTTTTGTAGACTTTGTCTTGAGGCAAAGAAAGAAGAGAATATCTCTGAATGGTACCATGAGGTAAGTCTTTACATCTTTCTGAACAAAACCCGTTAGGGGTCGAAAAACCTGTTAAAACAAAACATTAACGTCTCAGAAATAAGTCCAAAATGTCAATTACGTGGAAACATTTGAACATTTACTTAGCCTCAGCTGCTGTCTAAAATACACTGGTATTATATAACAGTGTTTTCAATAGTTAAATTAGCAAGCTGTGAAGTTTATTGATGAAATGTTAAACAAACGATTTTTTTAAGATGTTTATGTCCATGGAGCTTTTTCCAGTTATTCATCAGAAAAATATTCCTTACATCTTAGAGATATATTAAAAAAATGAGCTCATGTGTCCTATAGATGAAGCTTAAGTCAATATCTTAACCAAATGGCAAGGTAGCCCCAAAATATCAGCAGAATGCTTGTGTATTGGTCAAGAAGTTAACCATTTTTTTTAACTTTTTAACAGCCTGGTCATGTGCATTTCAGAAATTGAGTAGCAATTAAAAACTTGTATTCGATTTTTTCTAAAAAAATGCTCCATTAATGAATTATCGCTCCAACATTAAAGATATTTTTTGAAACTCTTTCAATCGTTTTAAGTACAATTTCTTCTCTTTTTTTTCCGAATTATTTAGGTCCGATTGTCAAAAACAAAACTGCAGACAGCATTTCATTTCGTGTATATTTTGATCCATTTTACCAAAATAAAAAATGCTTCGAAAATAATTTCTTGATGGGTCATCTTGCAACTGGTCCTTTGCTCGAAACTGTACCTCACAATAGAGAATATTTTGTGTTTGCTAGGTGATAACAAAGTCGGAGATGATCGAGTACTACGATGTGAGCGGATGCTACATCCTGCGGCCATGGTCCTACTCTATCTGGGAAATCATTAAGGACTTCGTTGACGGCGAGATAAAGAAGCTTGGCGTGGAGAACACATACTTCCCAATGTTTGTCTCCAACAAGGAGCTGAGGAGGTTGAAATCACCGACTGAAGACTTCGCTTCCGAGGTCAAATCTATCGATCAGAATAACTCTGAAGAGTCAAACCGTTCCTCCGGATTGTTTGCATATAGGTTATGCAGTGCAGAGGTCAGATTTATTCTTGACCTTTGTATAAAAAAAAAAATGCCAGTCAATTCACTCGTCAAATGCGTCTGTTTTCTTCTTGTCGGCTAACTACTTCATATTACTCTGCAAGGTTCTTTGGTTATCATACGTATTATAGTTGTAAAAGTTTAAGATGTGTTGCTTTGTAATTGTAGATTGCCGTGGTAACTAAGGCTGGGGAATCCGATTTAGCTGAGCCAATTGGCATCAGGCAAACTGGTGAGATTGTGGTGCACCCTTCCTTTGCGAAATGGATTCAATCTCACCGAGACCTGCCGCTGAAAATCAACCAATGGTGTAATATCGTGGTACGTACGACAGTCTAAACTAAACCAATGGTGTAATATCGCGGTACGTACGACAGTCTAAAGTTACCCAGCCGATGCCAGTAACAAGAAACTCTGTTTCCAGGCATTTATATTTAAATCAATAATATAAAGAAATTGGTTTTAATGATATTGTATAAACATAGATGTTGTGGAATGTATGACAGGCAAAACCCAATCAATCGACTCCAGTATCTTTTTATTTACATAATGATATTTAGTAATCAAACTTTTAGGTAATGTCCTACCATATTTTCACATGTACCCCCAATCTAGGAGAGTTCCATACTTTGAAATCACAGAAAAAACATGCAATCAAAAGTAAATGAATTATTGACACATTTATCCTTAATTTGTCTGCGTAACTATATCACTATTTCCTTAATTAGAACAAATACTACACTTCAGCACTTAATAGTCCCTTGTCAGTTAGATTTTCATGTGTTATTACTAATTTTTCAGATCCTACAGAAATTTTATTTTGAAAACATTTGCTGTGTTAAGATTGCACTGCATATTGTTTTTTACAGAGATGGGAGTTAAGCCTTCAGCCATTCTTGAGAACAAGAGAGTTTTTATGGCAGGAAGGTCAAACGGCATACGCAAATGTCAAGGACGCAGAAGAGGAGGTGTGTTTCACTGCTCGTTAAAGGATAAAATTAAATCTTCGACAAGTGCATAACACATATTCGTTACATTTGATAATGCTGTGCAGAGGTAAGTACTTGGAAAGAGTTTTATGTTCATTGCCAGAACAGATTCGACCATTTCTAATGTCTCTGAAGTATTTGGCAATCTGAAACCCGTAAGTATAATAAAAATAGTTTGTTCAGTGAAATAAAGGCACCATTTTGATCCAAGTTTGACTCTGCGTGACACGTGTTTTTGAGGAATACGAGTTCGAATTCTGTTGCAGGTATACACGATACTGGAGCTGTATGCCCGAGTGTACGAGGAGCTACTGGCCATCCCAGTGGTACGAGGCAGGAAAACAGAAAAGGAGAAATTTACAGAGGCAGATTTTACAACTACAGTTGAGGCCTTTATGAGTGCAAGTGGGGGTGCCATACAGGTCAGTTAGTGTCAGCATCACAGCTAAACGTCAAACATTGACCAGTTAACTATTTTATGTGGCCCAATAGGATCCTTACCGTAACGATACAATTACCACTTTCTGGACCTTAATTTCAACGTGGTTGTTAAGTTTTATTATGAAATAAAGAGTGAATTTGCCAAACATAAATGATATATGTATTGCTAAGCAATATTGACCTAAATTGTTGTCGAATCAATTAAATATTATAAGTAAATGTTTTTGAGATGACAGGTATATGCTTTTACCTGTTTAATTGTAGGGAGCCACGTCTCATCATCTTGGTCAGAACTTCTCAAAGATTTTCGACATAACCATTGAGGATCCAGAGACGCAGGAGAAACAGTACATTTATCAGAACTCATGGGGTCTTAGCACCAGGACGATAGGTGTAATGTGTATGGTCCACGGTGACAACAATGGACTGGTCCTCCCACCAAGGATCGCCAGTGTACAGGTAGGTTGTTAGAGGTACACTATCAAGATGGAGGGGATATGGAGTTTATAAGCAATTATGTACAATATTTGCATGTTTGGTTGCGCCTGCTGCCAGTATTACCTGCTAGGTCCTATAATTGTAGATGTGTTTTGGTCCAAAGACCCATAAATGCTCACAATTTTATAATTATTACTTACACGTTCTTTTTCATTTGAAAATCTAAGATAATGTTAATATGATGACCAATATATTATTATTACAATTACGTCATTTTATGACGGCATAATATTCTTAAATAAGTGTCCATGTCATATTGAATTTATTAAACGAGTTCAAATAGTTTGATATTATACGAACCTTAAGGCGAGTGTCATATCAAATTATTAAAAGAGTTTAATCAATCAAATAAGACAGGAACACGAATGTTGGATTAAATTTATCACATCACATTCATAATTTGAAAAAACCCCACTTCAAACACATTATGTGTTATCAGCTCACTTTTTAAAGGAAAAAAGATATTGCCGTTCCGTGGAGTGCAAAGTAGTTCGAGATTTTTGTTTCTTATAGTTAACAACTTTCAATACAATGAAGACAATAGTGATAAAATAACAGCTTCAAAATCATTTAAAAAAACGGTAAATGCATCATGTGGCAGAGTAAATAAAATGAGTACCTTGAGTGGCATAGGACATATCCCCAAGGTATAGACCAATCGCAGCACCTTTAGGATTCATTACACGCGTGTAATAACATATTTATGACATGTCCGTATGACATATTACGTAAAGTCGGTCAGTCATATGATGGTAACAGTGTAGTGACTCTCATGTTTAGTGACTATATTTGATTCACGTGCGCAGGCATTTAAAGAGTGACTCCTGGACAGGGAAGTTGCACAGGTAAATGGAGAGGATGCAGGTGATTACATTAACCAATCCTAGTGCATGCTTCCCGGCTCGATATTCAGGTTTCTATTTCATCTATATATTACAGGTAATCATTGTACCGTGCTATTTCACCGCCAATTTGTCAGAAGCAGACAATAAGAACCTCCTGAAGAAGTGTGAGGAGATACAGGGTTCTTTGGTGGCCGATGGAATCAGGGCCAAGTGTGATCTACGCGATTATTACTCTCCAGACTGGAAAATCCGCCACTGGGAACTTAAGGTAGTTAAAACATTTGCACTTGTTTGAAACACTGGTTTCCTAAGGAGACTGTCAAATAAGTGAGCGCCAGGTTAAATTGCTTTGTTCATTAAGTTAAAGATCGGAATTATAATTGCTTACTTCATAGTTACTTTAGCATTGATCGGTTACTTCATTAATTCATAAACATTTGATCAGATAGCTAAAATTTTCTTATATATTTTACTTCAGATAATCATTATTATATACTGACATCATTATTCATTGTGGGAAACTGTGTTATACTAGTTTTATTGCCACCATTTGTCAAATGAGTTTAATTTTTATAATTAAATAAAATATTAAAGACGATACTAAGATTTACTAAGGAAAAATAACAAAACCCGCTGAAAACAACTCACTGAGCCACAGTGTGCCGAAGCAGTAATGTCAGCTGTCAAAAATCATGGAGATATTTCGCCAAATTGCACTCTAATACTGTGGGCAGTCAGAGGGACGGGTAACATGTTTGCCCATTCCGCCCCCTTTTTTTTTGATTTGTGGCCCAGTGAGTTGTTTTCAACAGTTTATTCCGTCTTTGCGTATTGCAGAGGTATCTTCTCTTGTGAGCAGGTATTGATTTTAACGTCATTGGTTTGTGTGAGAAAATTACGTCGTTTTCTCAATCATTGATGACGATACTCTCACAAAAAATGACGTAACAATCAATACCTGCTCACAAGAGCAGATAACTCTGCAATACGAAAAACGGAATAGTCGAGACACCGGTCATTTACACTCTTTGCTTGTCAAAGGAAACAGACGTTTTCGAAAGCTCGCAAAAATAAGTTTTCAATTCCTGTTTTATTTTGTGTTCAAAACAAACTTATAGCTTTAAGAACATGGTTATATCTACGTTTTACTGTAATTGTTGATAATACAGTTTAGCTATCATGAACATTTTGTCATTGTATGGGTAAGATGAATAAGCATCTTTTCTTATGAGGAAGAATTCACACGTTTTGTGTATTTGTTTTATACATGTTTGTCAGTATATCACATGACTTGTGTAATGCATCATGTGAGTTGTGTACTTCACCACATGACTTTCCACTGTATCACATGACTTGAGCACTTTATAACATGACTTATGTGCTACATCACATGACATGTGAATACTTCATCGCAGAATTATTGTTCAACAGGGTGTGCCGATCAGGATAGAGCTGAGCCCTCGAGACATCAAACAGAAAAAGGTTGTTCTCGTGAGGCGAGATACCGGGGTCAAGTCGACAGTTCCCATGGCCAACCTGGCCACCAGCACCAGGGACACCCTCAACAACATCCAGCAGAACCTGTTTACCAAGTAAGACCGGCCAACTAATACACTCTAGTCTATATCTCAGTCAAAGGTCAAGGTCACTGTTATCAAAATAGAACTCTAGTCGAACATATTGTCATCACTCTAGCGGCAGATTTCGAGACAGATTTTCCTTTGAAATCCTTCAGAATCATATTTCCGTTTGGCAAATTCGTTTATGTGCGTGATCGGTCAAATGTCAAGATCCGCGTTATAGATTATTCCTGACAATTTGCTTGTCACTCAAAACGAGCATTGTTGTGTACAGTCCATGGTCACGTTAACGTTTCTAACATCTATTGACATACTTGGCTTATGACCACTGCATAATCGAGTCAATCAGGGGTCCGGAGGTACTATGAGTCTGCTCGTTTTCTCTATTTAGCTTCTCTTGTATTTACCATATAGCGTAAGGTTCTTGCTGAGTTTGAGAAAGGTTGTGAAATAAGGACACGATTATTGAAACTCCTTTAAATACAAACATAACATACTAATGTAAGGCATGCAGTCAAATCATTGTGTTTTTTACAACCCCAGCGCCAACGAAGATCTGTTGAGTCATATGTCAGTGGCACACGAATGGGAAGAATTCTGTAACAGCTTTGACGACAAGAAGATCATCCAGGCTCCGTTCTGTGGCAAGATTCTTTGTGAGGACAAGATCAAGAAAGATAGCGCCAGGTATACTTACTCCAGTTAATCCTTAAGTGTTCACTTGGTATGGTTGTTTAAACATTGAAATGCTTTAAATGACATTTATCATATCAATATAAATGCCACAAGGACTGCAAGAATATTATACGTGGTGTGTTGACAATGCACATGTAAAATTCCACAGGGAGTTGTTGAATTGATATTCATACCATTGTAGATGAGAATTGTGTATGGGAAATATAATTAGTGGAAAAGTTTTCCCTAGTACATTATAGTTTGTAATTGTAAGACTTTTTATGTTGGAATTAGTCATTCAAAGATCACATGAATATACACTCATTAATGGGTGACAGTACCTCGGGTCACTCAGATGGTATCACTTCACCTCGGGTCACTCACAGGGTGTCACTCCGCTTCGGGGCAATCCGAGGGTATCACTTCGCATGGGGTCAATCTGAGGGTATCACTTCGCCTCGTGTTTCTCCGAGAATATCACCTCAATTAGAAACACTCCGAGGCTATCACTTCGCATCTGGTTACTCAGAGGGAACCACCTCGCCTCGTATCAATCAGATGGTATCACTTCACCTTGGCTCACACCGAGGGTATCACTTCGCTTCGGGTCACTCCGAGGATATAACTTCGCCTGGGGTCAATCCGAGGGTATCACATCGTTTCTGGTCACTCCGAGGGTATCCCTTCACCTTGGGTCACTCCAAGACTATCACTTCTTCTCAAGTCACTCCGAGACTATCACTTCACCTGGGGTCAATGCGAGGGTATAACTTCACCTGGGGTCACTTAGAGGATATAACTTCACCTTGGGTCAATCCGAGGGTATAACTTCGCCTGGGGTCACTCTGAGGGTATCACTTCAACTCGTGTTTCTCCGAGAATATCACTTCACTTCGGGTCATTCCGTAGGTATAACTGGTATGACTCTATCAATGTAGTGAACCCAGGAACAGTCACCCACTACAACAAAAAACTTCATCGGTAAATTAGTGCAAAATTATTGATATCCTGACCGCTGCAATCATTTTGACTCCGTCAATCTGGAAAGTAGTAATGAAAAATTGAGGTTAAAAGAAACCATACCATCATCTTGTATGTGCTGTCATTATTACATCTTCATATGCAAATTCATGTACATTTTATTTGGCCCTCATTCTATAAACAATCGTCCTTAGTAGACACGTGGATAAATTTATTAACAGATATGTTTTGTATTTTACCAGGGATGCTGTGGTAGAGGAGGGGACACCTGCTATGGGAGCCAAGAGTCTGTGTATCCCTTTCAAACAGCCTAATGAGTTGGTCAAGGGCACAAAGTGTATCATGCCAAGCTGTGGCCAGGACGCTAAATATTACACACTGTTTGGGAGGAGCTACTGAGCAAAGATACTAACATTTGTACCGGAGATACGTATGAATGTAGTTTACAATATGGCCCTGCATCAAATATATATACAAACATGACAACAATTTAGGATAACAGTATAGCAATGCAGGATAAGGTTTCATCACAGTCAATGTAACTTAAAATTTAGTAATCCTTAAATATAATTTAATAGTGCACACTTGCATATCACACAAGTGTTACTGAATAATATGGTTAAAGCACTATCATAGTCAAATATACATTGTACATACAATGCTAATACGGCAAAGGGTAAAAACTGACAAGACATACACTAATATAGCGTGTATTAAAATGAGACATTGAAGTCTGTGGTGTAAAAAGTAATTTATAATAGAAAATTATCAAATGACATTTGCCTTTTACTAGAAACAAGATGTAGGAAACTATATTTATATCTTATAATATCAATATAAGGGAGATAATCACAGATACGCTATTCATGCGATAGATTAAATATCATAAAAGAAATGTTTTAAAATTAAAACTCAAGACTAGTTGTAGTACATAATTATATAAGATACGGCGGGATGTAAAGTAATGCTTCAGGTATCTGCTTTTAAAAACCCCGACACTACCTGAGTCTCTAATTGTATCACTAGCTTCGTTCCATAAGATTGAACATGTAGACAAATAATTGAAAAGTTATGAGCCCATCACATACTATAAACACTGATATGAGCCCATCACATACTGTAAACACTAATATGAGCCCATCACATGCTATAAACACTGATATGAGCCCATCACATACTATAAACACTGATATGCGCCCATTATATACTATAAACACTAATATGAGCCCATCACATACTATAAACACTGATATGAGCCCATCACATACTGTAAACACTAATATGAGCCCATCACATGCTATAAACACTGATATGAGCCCATCACATACTATAAACACTGATATGAGCCCATCACATACTATAAACACTAATATGAGCCCATCACATACTGTAAACACTGATATGAGCCCATCACATACTATAAACACTGATATGAGCCCATCACATAATATAAACACTGATATGAGCTTGTATGAATGACCTTAACTTGTTAAAATGTCGTAAAACTTCAAAAATCTTCTTCTCAATAACCGAAAGGACCAGGGTACTGATATTGGGCCTGTAGCATGCTGGTATAAAGGGCTACCAAGTGTGTTCAAATGAATGACATTGATCCACTTTCAAGGTCACAGGGGTCAAATGTATTAAAATCTTCAAACGACTTCTTCTCAATAACCAAAAGGCCCAGGGTACTGATATTGGGCATGTATCATGCTGGGATGAAGGACTACCAAGTTCGTTCCAAACAATGAGCTTGAGTTATATCCAAGGTCACATGGATCAAATGTGTTAAAAACCTGTAATACAACTTCTTCTGAATAACCAAAATGTCTATGATGATGATGATATTTGGCCAATAGCATGCTGGAATAAAGGACTACCTAGTTTGTCCAAATAAAAACAAAACTTTTAACAACTTCTTCTGAATAACCAAGAGGTTTTAGGTGATGATATTTTGCCAGTAACATGATCGGATGAAGGGCTACCAAATTTGTCCAAATGAATGACCTTGACTTATAGTCAAGGTCACAAGGGTTGGATATGTTCAAAACCTTTAAAAGAACTTCTCATGAATAACCAAGAGGCCTAGGATGATGATATTTGGCTAGTAGCATGCTGGGATGAGGGGCTACAAAGTTTGTTCAGATGAAAGACCTTCATCTTTTTTCAAGGTCAAAGGGGTCAGATATGTTTTAAACCTGTAAACAACTTCCTCTAAATAACCAAGAGGCCTATGATAATGCCAGTAACATGCTGGGATGAAGGACTATAAAGTTTGTTCAAATGAATGACCTTGACATATATTCAAGGTTACAGGGGTCAAATATGTTAAAACCTTTAAACGACTTCTTAATAAGCAAAAGGCCAAAGGTGATGATATTTGGCCATTAACATGCTGGGATGAAGGACTACCAAGTGAATGACCTTGGCCCATATTCAAGATCATAGTGGTCAATATATGTTTAAATCTTTAAATGATTTGTTCTGTATAACCAAAAGGTCCTGGGTAATGCTGGGTTAGAATACTATAAACTCTGTTCAACCTAATGTCCTTGTTCGATATTCAAGGTCACAGGCGTCATGTATTTAAATATTTAAATAGGTTCTTATGAATCAAACACTGATATTCTGCCTGTAGCTGTATTTTAGTCCACTTTTATGATTATAAGTGTGATTTTATACCAGGTGAGCGATGCAGGCCAAATGGGCCTCTTGTTTCATGAATAAGTAAAATTGCAAAAAAACATGGTAAACCCGTTTTGTTAGGCAGCGTGCTACCACTTTTCATTTACATTAATAACGGTTACAGTATCTTACTGTTCGTAGTNTAAGTGTGATTTTATACCAGGTGAGCGATGCAGGCCAAATGGGCCTCTTGTTTCATGAATAAGTAAAATTGCAAAAAAACATGGTAAACCCGTTTTGTTAGGCAGCGTGCTACCACTTTTCATTTACATTAATAACGGTTACAGTATCTTACTGTTCGTAGTTTTTTTATTTAGTCACGTGATTTCGTCTAAGAGTTTTGTTAATATATTTTCATTTACTTAATAATATCAAATAAATGATATCTATGAATGACTTGTGGGATAGTTTATTCACTTAAAGTACTTATGTATTTAGATAATTATGATACGGCATACTACCCTTCATAAATATTACTTTAACTACGCTTATAGAAATTATATGGTGGTTTCTTTAATTATAAGATGAATTTATCCATTGGAACAATAAAGTTTTGATAACTAGTAAAATGTTACTGAATCATTTGTGGAAAAACGGACCTGGGCCCGTATTCATGAAACCGTTCTCATGCTCAAGCAAGGATTTTGTGCTGAGGTCTAATTTCTTGTTTCAGTTATAAATCATTAAAAAAAGATTATGTTGACAATGATTTAGAAAAAAACCTTTGAAGAGACTTATAGCCTGTTAATAATGTTTTCGATGTTAACATTTGACTTTTTGATAATTTTACATGAAGTTAAAGTGGGTTAGAAGATTTTGTATTACAAAATTGAATACAATGCGAATATATCTGGCAGTATCTTGTAAGTAGACACAGACAGGTTTGGTTTGGTTTAATTTTGTTTAACGTCCTATTAACTATAAGGTCATTTAAGGACGGCCACCCCTGTGTGCAAGATGCATGCGTGTAGTGTATGCGTGTGTTTTTTGGGAGGCTGCGATATTTTCGTGTTTGTCTCCTTGTGATAGCGCGGAACTGATGCCGACTTTATAGTGCTACCGCACTGAAACATACTGCCGAAGACATCTAGCAGGACACCCCACCCGGTCACATTATACTGACAACGGGCGAACCAGTCGTCCCACTCCTAAATTGCTGAGCGTTAAGCAGAAGTAGAAACTACCATTTTTACAGAGTCTAGTATGTCTCGGCCAGGGGACAAAACCTAAAGCCTTCCTCACAGGGGCGAACGCTCAACTAAATACCAAAAGTGAGGCATTGTCAAGGGAGACATTAGGAAGAAGAAAAGTTGTTTAGAAAGAAGAAAAAAGATAAGATCCACAATTTAGTCGCCTCTTACGATCATGCAATGGGGGCAGAAAGTACAATTCTTACGTCTTACCTAGACACAAACAGAAATGGAATCAATTTCGCACGTGGAAAATAGAGTGCGATGAACAACAGGGGTGTAGCTATGTGTGTACTGGATACGGAAAATAAGCCCCATCTCATTTAAGAGGATCTGGTGATGTTTAATGGAATTAAACCATTTAATGTGACTTGTTCGATAATGGCTAAATCATGTTGGAAAATCCTACAGGTGTTGGAAAATTCTGACTGTATTAAAATTGAGATATATATCATATAAAAGAAATGAGGGTATCACTGTACTATAAAACAAGTAATAACCTTTTTTTTATATGATATATATATCTCAATTTACAGTCAGAATTTCAAACATCTGTGAGCAAACTAAAGCCGGGGTTAATGTATAACAACACCTTGTAGTGAGGTAGAAAGCCTGATCTAGGCCACGCCCGCTTTCGTTTATCGCGATCCAACGGTTGGACAAAAGTTGCTCGTTTATGAAATAAGGTCGGACCTAGCGATCTGATGCTGCTTTCGGGCGAGTCTTTCAAGTCCTTTATAAACATTTGCAGGTCTGCCTGGATTTATATTTGAAAATGTTACATTTAAAAACAGACAAACTGGTTGTTCTCCATAAACGAACAAGCCTTTAGATCATCATGGCTTGGGTTGAGAAATGAATTTTGTTGAAACGAGTATTAACATTTTTCTGAAGTGTAACTCCTACAACTGTTGTCTGATTTGGGCAACAATTCCGATATCTTAGAGAAAAATAGATAACTGACCAATGAGCAGGAGACAAATTAGTGACTCCCGTACTAAATAAAAGCCGACCACAGCGCTGAGAGCCAATACAATCGAGATTACTAGATACTATATATAGTAGTTAATTCAAGATACCAGTAGCATGATCAATTCCTTTCCATGGGTTTGTATGTGTAGTATAACTTTCGAAGAAGTAGAGGTGTCGAAATACTTAATACGACAGATCACGATTGGCAAATGAAACGCGAGCTGTATTTTGCACGTGCGTATGTGTTTGCAGATTTATAGGAGGACACGATTTATGGAGCCGCGGTGAAAATAGTGTCAAAAGACAGGCTGTTGAAAAGTTTTTCTAAATTAAAGTTTTTGGATGTGAATTCGCTTAGGGACTGACACGATAGATGAAATACATTTCTTTTGAGACGCCGTTATGACTTTCCATGAACCTTGACAATTTGAATAAAAGTATTTTAGACGGTTGAAGTGTGATCGGTTTACATTCAGCCAAAAGGCTAATTGTTACCAACTTCTATATAGAAAGAAGGTTAACACGGCAACCACCTGCATGTGCGTAAGGTCTCATTCATTCGTCACGGTATGATGCTGATTCTAATCAATAGTAGCATTTAAGACTATAGCAATACATACGGTATTTAAATGAGTATAGGAATATCTTATTCTATAAATAGTATATAGATAATTGTTGTTCCATAAATATAACCAAACATAATGGATGAGCCGATAGAGCAGATCAGGGAATTACTTGGCAACCTTGTTGGCTTTTTGCTCATGCGCACAAAAAAGTAACATGGTCGTCGTAGCAACCCAAACCCGTTCCCGTATTCCTGTCATATCACCTCAGTCATTGCTCACGTGGAAGATAACGCCGGCCAACCTTAATTGTATAATAGATATTTAATAATAATGTATATGGTATTCAACGTTTAACCAGGAAATAAATCTCTTTAAAAGACTTTTTTATAATCTTGTCACACAATCCTCATGATAATTTAGTTTGATACTCCTTGTGAATAATTCATGTCGAGAAATTGACAACAGACACTGTTATCTCGGCTCACGGTAAAATGCTCCATTGGTGATTTGCAAGTGTGGTCCTTTCTATAAGTGGTAGAAAACATGTGGATCAACATGAACTGCTCTCAATATTGGTTCGCACAAAATATTTATTTGTTAATGATATTAATAATTAATGCTACTTTTGAAATTTTTGTTTTATTTTACACAAATTTTCATTTTATCATTCTTATTATTCATAGCATCTTCATTAAAAATAATGGTCGCTTTCAAACTACTTTATTTATTTATTACGACACCTTTACATACAGTCTATTTCAGTACTAAATGAGACTGGCAACACACTGATAATTTACTGGTTGTCAAAGTGGTAACATCATTTGAATTACATTGTCATTCTTTATTCATCGGTGCCATGTACTCGGCTACGCATGAGATATCCAAAGCGACTTTTTTTGTGTTTAAGGGAAGGGTTTTTAGTTGTTTTCAATTATTTCACACATCCGTAGGGACATACATACGATATATATACATGACATATAGGTACATTCGATGATTCGTAATGGTTTGGTTTTAGTTTTATGAGTTTCAATGTCTATAATCAGCTTAGATCATTTAAGGATACTGAC